CCACCAGGGATGTGCCTGCAACCAAGGTACATGCCCTTGACTGGAATCGAACCCGGGACCTTTCAGTCCGCAGACCGACACTCTATCCACTGAGCCAAACCGGCTTTGGCTCCTTCTTATATCATACTTCTGTTCCATCATTCTTCTTCCTATTTTTCTCCTACCCTCTCTCCCTCCCCACATTCTTTTTTTCCCTTTATCTTTACCCTTTCTTTCCCTTCCCTTTTCCTTCCTTCCCACCTTAATTTTTTTCTTTTACTTCCTCCCTGCTTTGCTCCCTCCCCCATTTCCTCCTTCCCATTCTCCTTTTAAGCTCTATCAGCTCTCCTTTATTTTCTTCCCTCCCTCCTTCTCTCATCTACATCCTTCTCTACTTACTTCTTTAATATTGACCTACCTGCCTAGTTATTCACTATCACTTATCTTTTTTCTTTTCTGACTCCTACTTCTAAAATCTGTCCCCAGTACACAACTATACTTGATTTTCAATATAGCTCCTACAATTCACTCACACAGCCTCTTTCCTTCTTTAACTCTGCTCTCTACTGCCTCCTTTATAAAGTCCTTCCCTCCTTCCCTTCTTAAAGCTTCCATTTGGCAGGGGTGGGAGTGGGGGTGTTAACCCCCATCCCAGGGCTCAGTCCTGACCAGGTGTTCGACACCACCCCCTTCCCTGGCCTCCCCGCCGCTGTCCTCCCATCCCACGCAGCCGGGGTGTTGCTGTGGCGAAGGCCTTGAACCATCCTCTGCTCTGTCCCGGACCCATGGGTGCCTCCTCACGTCTGGGTGGGCCTCCCCACTCGGCGCCACCTGTGCCTTGCCCCTTGCAGGGTGCACCTGCTCTGCCCTCCCCCTTTCATCCTCCCCCCTAACCCCCCAATCCCACAGTCACCACCTTCTGCATGCAGTTTCTTCCGTTTTCCATTCCTGAGTCTTTTTCTTGCTCCCTTTCTGTTTTTCCGTTTCTCTTCTCGGCCTGTCCTCTCCCTCTCCTTTCTTATCCCCTATTGTATCCTATTCTACCCCAGGCCTTGCAGCTGCCTGAGCAGAGGGCGGGGACGCAGTCTGCTGATTCAGTTGTGGCATGACACTGTAATGGACAAATTTGCATATTCCTCTATTATTAGATTAGATGAATTTAATAGTAGTATATTATGGGATTCTGGAGAGGCTAAATGAGTTAACAGATGTAAAGCACTTAAGACAGCATTGGGCACATAGTAAATAATAAAAATTAGCTATTATTAATTTTATTATTATTAGCTAAAAGGTTATCATCGAGGAGTTAAAGAAAACATTACATTTACTTTATTTTGAGCTATAAAGGAACTGTAAACACATAAAATACCAAACCTAGCTGGTTTGGCTCAGTGGATAGAACCTCTGCCTGTGGACTGAAGGTTCCTGAATTTGATCCCCAGTGGGGGGCATGCAGGAGGCAGCCAATCAGTGATTCTCATTATTGATGTTTCTATCTCTCTCTCCCTTTCCCTTCCTTTCTGAAATCAATAAAAATATATTTAAAAAACAAACAAATGTTTTAAATAAAATGTCCTAATTTTTTTCCTAAACACAATTAAGGTGCCCTGGATATAATCACAGGTCAGCATGACTAGATTGTGATAGCAACAAAGAAAACTTCTGTATAAATAAAAGCACTATAACTGGGAAAAAGAAAAAGTGTGTTCCTGGAAAGAAGATAGTCTTCCCTTGTGTAAGAGAAGTCCAAAGACACAATATTTGGCAGTGTTGCCAAAACTGTCTGAAAAAAAGTTGTTTCTGATCCCAAAAAGATACTTTTCCATTGTGGGGAAAGGACTTCTCAGATAACTGTAGCTGGATGATATTGGTCAGTTAGATTATTCAACTCTCCAACTCTCCTCATGTCAAGACTAAATTACTTGATATTTGGTTTTCTATGTATAACTGGCTAAAGGAAAAGAATGTGCTAATCACCCAAAATGAATTTCTAGCCTTCCTGATACTTATATTTCTCAAAGTAAATTAATGATCCAAATGCCACTTTTGGTGCTTAACCTGGATTAATCCCTGCTCTTCTAAAGTACTTTAATTATACTTTAACTATAGCACTTATCCCAGTTTTTCTTTGGTTGTTTACATGTTTATCTCTTCCACCAGACTATAAGTATTTTAAAATACACTAATAGTCCTAATTCTTTTTTGTTTTCCCAGCTTTATACTATGAAAATTTAAGTTGATTTTTATTTTTTAACATATTTTTTTATTTCAGAGGGAAATGGAGATGGAAACATCAATGATAAGAGAGAATCATTGATCAGCTGCCTCCTGCAAGCCCCTCACTGGGGATTGAGCCCGCAACCCAGGCAAGTACCTGGACCCGGGCATGTCCCCTGACTGGGAATCAAGCCATGACCTCCTGGTTCATAGGTCGATGCTTAAGCAGTGAACCATGCCAGCTGGGCTTAAGTTGATTTTTTCATTTTTTATTGATTTTTTATAGAGGAAGAGAGAGGTATAGAGTCAGAAACATCGATGAGAAAAAAACACCAATCAGCAGCCTCCTGCTCACCCCCCATTGGGATATGCCCGCAACCAAGGCACAAGCCCCTGACCGGAATTAAACCTGGGACCCTTTAGTCCGCAGGCTGATGGTCTATCCACTGAACCAAACTGGTTTCGGCCTTAAGTTGATTTTTAAATGTTTGATGAATAAATGAATGGATGAATAATAATATCATGTGACTATTCCCTTCCTAGTAAAAGACTGAAAACTACACACAAAGATCATACTTACCTTATTCTTTTCATTTTGAATAACTTCTAATAGCTGGTCTATGTGCCCTTCATCTATGCATCTTTGGCCTGCTAACTGAAATAGGCCAAAATCTTCTTCCTTGAAGTCTTGCTCTTCTAAGATTTGCTGGCAAAAACAAAATAAACAAAACCAAACGTGTTTAGGCAAATAAAAATGCAATAACTACTTGATTTATTTTATCTCTGAAAATCCTAGGTAAGTTGCACATAAACATATATATGAAAATTCTGATTAGCCTAATAAACACTTTATTTATTTATTTTTAAAATATATTTTATTGATTTTCCACAGAGAGGAAGGAAGAGGGATAGAAAGTGAGAAATGTCGATGAGAGGGAAACATCGACCAGCTGCCTCTTGCACACCCTCTACCGGGGATGTGCCTGCAACCAAGGTACATGCCCCTGACCGGAATCGAACCTGAGACCTTTCAGTCCACAGACTGATGCTCTATCCACTGAGCCAAACCGGTTTCGCCCTAATAAACACTTTAACGAATGATCTTGAAATCCTCTGTGTCAAAGAAATCTGTAAGGACCGGTATTAAATATTTTAAAGGTTATTTAGAGGAGTATGTCATGTGGACAAATAATCCAATCTGCCTTTTTGTCCTCATGCTTTTCCATAGGTCAAAATAAGCAAGGATTAAAGAAGATAAACAATATGAATGACAGAAAGTGTAATTAAAAATAACCTGTGCCCTTCCCAAAGTATTTTGGAAGGCATTTAACTCTACAAAAAGAAAAAAAAGAAGAAATTACTTACACATCTCTTTATTATGGATTGAAGTTCTTCCACAGCCATTCCTTGTTATTTTTCCTAGTTCTGATGCTAAAATCTATCAGTAGAAAGCACACTGTTAACTACCACAGATATTACATTCAAGTATTAATGTTATATTTCATTCTTATAAATTATTAGTAAGTACAATGAAGAAAAAAAGTTTTCAAGCTAAAATGCTTTTTTAAAAAAATATATTTTATTGATTTTTTTACAGAGAGGAAGAGAAAGAGAGTTAGAAACATCGATGAGAGAGTCACCAATCAGCTGCCTCTTGCACACCCTCTACCGGGGATGTGCCCGCAACCAAGGTACATGCCCTTTGACCAGAATGGAACCTGGGATCTTTCAGTCCGCAGGCCAATGAGTGAAACCCGTCTCGGCCAAGCTAAAATGCTTTTGTTGAGAGTTAGTTATATGTTAGACTAAGATAATAAAAATCTTTAAAAAAAAACAAAAAACTCCTGATGCATCTTTTATGTTTTCTTAAAAGCATGGTTTTGCTGAGAGTAAGTTCTAAAAGAAACAACTGGAACAAAAAAAATAATAATCTGGAGCACTACCAAAAGGATCGCAAATATAGACTATACAAAGTGCATTAAAAATGCGAAGTATTTCATTTCTGAAACTACTTCCAAAAGTTGGGCTTGAGATCACTCCTAATCAATAAGGAGTTTTTTATATTGTAATGTCCCCACTTGACAAAAACTGAAGTCCATACAACTCACCTAGCGGTGGGGAAAGTTCAGATGCCCCCCACGCCAAGCGATCGAGGCATTTTCCTTGGGAGATGCGGTCCCCAAACTGACTAACCCAGCCCGTGAGCTCAGGGGAACCCCGTCCCGTTCCCGCAGCCCATCCTTCCCCGGGCGTGGAAGCCCGGCCCCGGCCCCGCAGCCGGGCGGCCAAACCCCAGCGCGCGTGCGGGCGACATCCAAGGGAAGCCATTTCTCCCGATTGTTCATAGCCTCGGCGTTCCGGCCCCACCACTTCGCCGGGCCTAATCCGCCCGTCGCGCCACATGCCCGCGCCTCAAGGTCCGCCGCGGGCCCCGGCAGCCGAGGACCATCGTCAGCGCCCACTTACCAGCCGGGCCTCACGCTTCTACGTCTTCCTCCACCTTCTCCGGCCGCGCAGCCGCTTTGGGCCCCGCCCCTGGGCCCGCCCACTGACACGCCCTCTGTCCCGCCCCCTGGCCGGCCCCCGTTCCGCCCATTGGCCCGCCCCCGTTCCGCTCCAGGTCCCCGCCCACTGACCAGCCCACGCCCCGCCTCAGGCCCCGCCCCCTGGCCAGCACCGCCCCGCCCCTGGGCCCGCCCCGCCCCGCCCATTGACCCGCCCCCAACCCCGCCCCTCTCTACGACATGGGGCGGGGCTTCGGAGAGCGACGCCGGGGTCGTCCGGAGCGTCTGACGGCGCGCCCCATGGCTGAGTGCCCCGCCGGCGCCCAGGCCCGGGCCCACCGCGCCTCGCGAAAGGCCGCAGGTAGGCTCCAGGCGGGCCTCTCCCGCGTCGGACCCCGAGAGCCTGCCCCCCTACTGAGTTCCAGACGGGGGCGCGCGGAGCACCCCGAAAGGCTCCCAAGGCAGGAGAAGGCCGGGAGCGCCCCCCGCCGCCTCGCGCCTCCCGGGACAGACCCCCCAGCTCCTTACCCTGGCGTTCCGGGCTGTGCCCCGGCTCTGAGGAAAGGGCGGTGGAGGCCCGGGGCCTAGAGCTGGGGTCGCCAGGCCGGGCAGCCGCCCTGGAGCCTGGCCAGGTCCTCCTTCCAGTCGCACTGCTGCTTTGGGGCCCCGCTCCCCTGGGGTATCAGAGAGCCCTCTCCCCTCTGAGGGGAGTGAATTATTTGGGGGACGGAGAGAGGGTACCCCTAAAAGTACCCATATCCCAGATTCTCAGGAGGGCATCACTGCAGCTATGTTACAAGAGAAAATTCAACCCCGAAAGAGATGCATGCTAACCAGAAACAGTTCTGGAGTAATTAACAAATTCGAATTGGATTCCCTTTCCATTTCACTTGATTTACGCACAGGTTTGGAAATGGAATATGTGGAAAGGAGGAAAAGATGGTACTTTATTTGGGCAGGAATCTGTCCTGTAATCTAATGTATTTGGGTAGAACGAAACCTCCTGTTTCTTGTTTGTTTTTGTTTTAATGTTAGGTGCTAAACAGAGGAGTACCTTGAAACAAGAAGATGCTTCTAAAAGGTATGAGAACTACTAGTATTTGGATAACTGTATTCACTTGACTATCTCCTATTAGTTGAACCATTATTAAAAACAGTAACTTGCTTTTATGAGTATAGGCATATCTTAGTACATGCTACCTTCAAAGAAAATTATTATGAGAAGGGGAAGATCTGGGGAGCATTATAAATTCTCACATAGACTGTTACAACTCCCTGCTCCATGCTTTAAGAAAACCAAAATCAGACACTTTTAGACTTCTAATGAAAGGTGCATATTTTCAGCAGAAAGTTCTCCTGTCCTGTCTCTTGGCTTTATCTCTTGTCACAGAAGTTTTCTAGTATAGTAATAGTCTGTGAGTATGAATTTAAAAATACATATCTGTGGTATTTTATGAAGTGTTGGCTTTGACCTTAATTTACTAATTTTTTTTTCAAGTTACTTAGTGTAAGATATGCCAGACCTATTAGGTCCTGGGGATATAATTTTGAATAGAATAGACACAGCTCCTACCTAGTGGATCAGAGACATACCAATTAAATTATCACAAAGAAATACATAATTACGAATTGTGATAAGCGCTATAAAGTAGTAGGAACTCGTCACCAGAATCTAATTTAGCTGGAGGTTGGCAGGGAGGGTGGTGGGTTTTCAGAGGAGGGTTTCTCAGTAATTAATCTGAGTCCTGAAGGCTAAGTAGGCATTAACCAGGCAGAGTAGGGAGGGGAGAGACCTCCAGCCAGAGATGCCGTGTGAGTGACAGGTTTGGTCACATAAAGAAAGGAGAGAGGTTCCGGGTGGTGCGCAGCACTCTGAGCAAGGCAAGAACGGAGCATAGGGAAAAGGTTAGAAAGGCAGGATTCCATTCATACGGTACCTGGTAGGTTATGGGAGGAATTTAGATTTTCTATGTGCAAATGAGAAAACTTCAATAAAGTGATGAAATTTAAGTTTTAAAAGTTTTAAGGATGGTGATCATCTAGAATGGAGATCATCTAGGATGGAGAAATTGATGGATTTGAGATTTGCTTTTATGAGTATAGGCATATCTTAGTACATGAATAATGCAGATTCAGTTCCAGACCACCGCATTAAAGCAAGTCATAATCTTTTTTTTTTTTTTTTTTTTTGCTAGTGGAGGTCTTGAAAATGCAACATCTGTCAAGTGCAATAAAGTGTTGTAAAATGAGGGATACCTGCATTTTCCCATAGCGTAGCATGATTATACTGTCTTTGTTTTAAGAAATACTGAAACTGTCTTTAACACTGATCTGATCACAAACCTAAGGAGATTGTCTTATTTTGAGCACTATAATTTGCATAATATAGACAAGCTGAAATGTATTTTAACAGACCATTCAAGACGATGAAACAATGAAAAAGCCATGGGGATAACCAAATAGTTGTTGAGGGGAGTGATCTTTTATAAATTTCTAGGGCCCCAGTGCACGAAATTCGTGCATGGAGGGGGTTGTTCCTTCAGCCCAGCTTGCAACCTTTCCAATCGGGGACCCTTGGGGGATGTCTAACTGCCAGTTTAGGCCCCCCAACTGCCCTCCCTTGCCAGCCTGATCTCTCTCCCAACTGCCCTCCCGTGCCAGCCTGATCTCTCTCCCAACTGCTCTCCCCTGCCGTGCTAATCTTGCCCCTAACTCTCTGCCTGCCTGATCTCACACTCAACTGCCCTCCCTTGCTGGCCAATTTGGTTTTGATTGGTCGGTTTCTATGCCAGTCAGCATCAAAAGCTCTGCCTCCTAGGCAGCCATTGGCTCCTCATGGTTCACCCAGATTTGATTCTGATTGGTCAGTTTCTATGCCAGTCAGCATCTCTGGTCCTGATCAGCAGCCCCCACAAAGACCTGGAGAGAAACAGAGGTGAGGCTGCTGGGAAAGCCTGGAGAGAAAGAGAGACACAACGGCTGATCAACAGCTGCCACAGAGGCTGCAGATCCACATTCGATCCATGTGAATGCTTTTAAGCCATAAAGTTTTCAAAAATATAAAACAATTCCACTTTCACACTAAATTTTTTATTTAAAAACTAGAGGTCCGGTGCACGAAATTCATGCACTGAGGTGGCGGGGGAGGGGGTCCCCTCAGCTCGGCCTGTGCCCTCTCTCAGTCCCGGGCTGTCACAGTCCGGAACCCCTCACTTCTTGCTGCTCACCTTCAGCAGAGGCGGGAGAGGCTCCCGCCATTGCTGTGCTCGCCAACCATGAGCCCAGCTTCTGGATGAGCAGTGCTCCCCCTGTGGGAGCACTCTGACCACCAGGGGGCAGCTTCTGTGTTGAGCTTCTGCCCCATGGTGGTCAGTGCACATCATAGTGATCCATTAGTCTGCCATTTGGTCAATTTGTATATTATGGTTTTATTATATAAAATATATTAACTTAGCCTGGCCAGCATGGCACAGTGGTTGAGTGCCAACTTATGAACCAGGAGGTCACAGTTTGATTCCTGGTGGAGGCACATGGTTGCAGGTTCCATCCCCAGTGTGGGCATGCAGGAGGAAGCCAATCAATTATTCTCCCCTTCATTGATGTTTTTATCTTTCTCTCCCTCTCCTTTCCTCTCTGAAATAAAAATATTTAAAGATTTATATTAACATGTAACAAGTATATTATTAACAAATGCTTTAAAATTGTCTCACTTTTAATATGGTAAGTTTCAGTAGATAAAATTTACATAAGCAAAAGTTCTAATTTTAAGAGTGTAAAGGAATGTTGAGACCAAAAACCACTGCTGTATACCACCCTACCTGTCAATATTTCTGACAGAGGGCAGCTGTGAGACTTGGCTCTCCATGGGAAGCCGCTGTAAGTATCTATCAGTTAATAAAACTTATTGTGGGTTGAGATAGTTGATGCTTAAATCAGCAATTCCTAATGCCGGTTATTTACTGATCTTAGTACCTGACATACATAGCTTTTATTGGTAGGCAGCAAAATGAGAATAATAAAATAATGTTTTTCATAAAGCTAAATATAAATATAGTCAGTATGAAGAACTGCTTTTTAACTGCCTCTGCGTCTTTTATACTTCTTTGATGTAAACACGGCCTTTATAAAATGATGGGAGAACAGGTGTTAGTTGCAAATTTATTCTTATTTTAAGTCCTATGTGTTTCTAGTTAGCAATCCTGTGCCAGTCCTCCAAATTGCTTTGTAAAACATATTGTTCCAGGCAAGGAATTATAACCTAATATTTTGAAGGTAGGGAAAAAAGATGAGTACATTCCATGTCCAGATATGAGAGCCAAGTCAAGATTCAGGAGGTCAGCAAAGGTTGGTTCAAGGGGCAAGTGGAAACCAGTGCTAGAAAGGAGCCAAATGCATCACCAAGATAGTTGGTACCTTTGTTCTTGTGACAGTGATTTTCAATCCAGTCACACACTATGAATATTTGGAGCACTTTTAAGAAAACACCAATAACCAGATCCCACCCTCAGAGGTTCTGATTTAATAAGCCTGCAGTGTGACCTGGACATAGTATCTTTTTGAAACATCTTATCAGGTGGAGCCATGATTGAGAACCACTGTCTGGGGTCATTGTTTGATCTGATAACCCATGCTTTATGTTCATAATGTGTGGGGCAAGCAAAAGCTGACAGAGCCCCTTTGGTACCAGGACAAGGACCAGCCTTTCTAGGAAGATTCTGTTTCCTTATCCCATAGTTATATCAATACAGTTATTTAATAAAACTTACAACAAAAGTAAATAAACACTTCTTTGCAAATACGATTCTCTCTTGTCAAACTGTGCCATCTGTTGACTTTTGAGACTTGACACAAATAAAGTTTTACTTGTAAGAAGAACCAAAATTATATTTTTCTTCTCTGATCTCTTCTTATTTACAAAGATTTCAGAGGAAAAACCTTCGTTTTTAGTTACCCATGAAAGTAATAGAGTATAAACTTGTAACTGGCAAAAAGATTTCACCTCATTTCCTTTTCTGTAGGAATCTCTGGAGTTCTTTGTACTCTGGGTTCTGGAAATCAAATAATCTTGTTTTGTGACTGACCTATGTGTCTAGTACAACAAGTAGTTTGTTTCCTTTTTGAAAAGTATTGAGTCAAAAGTAACAGCATCCTATCTAATAAAAGAGTAATATGCAAATTGACCATCACTCTAACACACAAGATGGCCGCCCCCATGTAGTCAAAGATGTCTGCTCTCATATGGACACATGATGGCCACAACCAGATGGCCAACAGGGGAGGGCAGTTGGGAGGGACCAGGCCTGCAAGGTAGGGTATTTGGGGGTGAACAGGCCTGCAGAGGAGGGCAGTTAGGGGTGACAGGGTTGGCAGAGGAGGGCAGTTGGGGGCCACCAGGCCTGCAGGGGAGGTCAGTTGGGGGCAACCAGGCCTGCAGGAGAGGGCAGTTGGGGGCAACCAGGCCAGTAGGGGAGGGCAGTTAGGGGCAATTGGGCCAGCTGGGGAGCAGTTAGGCATTGATCAAGCTGGCAGGCATAAGCGGTTAGGAACAATTAGGAAGGCAGGCAGGTGAGCTGTTGGGAGCTAGCAGTCCTGGATTATGAGAAGGATGTCCTACTGCCCATTTAGGCTCGGTCCCAGTGGGGGGATCAAGGTGTCCCAGATTGGAAAGGGTGCAGGCTGAGCTGAGGTACACCCCCCTCATGCATGAATTTCATGCACTGGGCCTCTAGTTAAAAATATAAATTTAAGTAAGTAGCAAATAGTAAGTTCTTAGTGTATTTTAAAACAAAAAATTGGCTATGTAAAACTTATAAATACAATAAGTTACATTTTAAATAATTTTTATTTTTATTTTAGGAAAGCAGAACTAGAAGAGACTGTGAGAAAGAAGATTGAGTTTGAGAGAAAAGCTCTACATATTGTTGAACAGCTTTTAGAAGAAAATATTACAGAAGAATTCTTAATAGAGTGTGTATGTGTTCACAAATTATTATTTTTGTAGTAGAAAATCTTTAAATATGTGCAACGTGAAACTTACTTGCATTATTGAAATCTTGAAATCTGTTCTTAGTCATCACGTGCAGGTAACATGCTATATAATTCCTGCATTAAAAATAATAACATGTATTTCTTTTATAATGACTTTAAATCCACTAATGAAGAATAACATAAATATTTCAATCCTTAATAGTAATTGTTTTAACCACTCTGCTATTCTCATTTTATTTTCATCTTTTGCACTAATGATTCCAATGTCATTTTCCATGTTCTGTATATTATCCTATTTTAATAAACGATTATATTTGTTAATGTAATTCCATTAATTTGGATTTTTTAAAACCTCAAATATAGATCCTTTATGATTTAACACTTAACAAGAAAATTATAATTTGCATTTTTGTTTGCTTGTTTTCTTTAATGGCTTTATTACATTAGATTTGTGAATGGAAATTTATATTATATCCTCATAATCTTAAGATAAAAAAGAAATAGAAAATTAAAACTTAGAGCTTCTATTGCAAATATAATTTTTAGTTTGGCTCATAGATTTTTCTAAATAAGAGGAATATAAATGTGATAAATTTAAATTGATATAGGTAACTGCATCAAAATCTGTATACCATAATGACTAAATACAAACACAAACTAGAAATGCTTCATTTGAAATAAGTACCTTATAGTACTTTCAATAAAAAGTTGTTCAGTCTCGCCAAGACCGGTTTGGCTCAGTGGATAGAGCATCGGCCTGCGGACTGGAAGGTCCCAGGTTCGATTCTGGTCAAGGGCATGTACCTTGGTTGCGGGCACATCCCCAGTGTGTGGTGTGCAGGAGGCAGCTGATCGATGATTCTCTCTCATCGATGTTTCTAACTCTCTATTTCTCTCTTTTTTTAAAAATATATTTTATTGATTTTGTACAAAGAAGAAGGGAGAGAGATAGTTAGAAACATCGATGAGAGAGAGTCATCGAACACCTGCCTCTTGCACATCCCCTACTGGGGATATGCCCGCAACCAAGGTACATGCCCTTGACCGGAATCGAACCCAGGACCCTTCAGTCCCCAAGCCGACTCTCTATCCATTGAGCCAAGCCGGTCCCGGCTATTCCTCTCTCTTACTCTCTGTAAAAAACCAATAAAATATATTTAAAAAAAAAAAAAAGTTGTTCAGTCTCTGCTAATACAGAAAAACATCTTCAAAAGACTCTAAAAGTGAGATTATTTGAAGAGGAAGATACCAATGGAAAACATTTGGTGTTAGCTTATAACTATCACTTTAGCATTCTCTGGTACAGTTTTTTCAGAAGCTGGAAGATTTTGCACAAAAATTGGTTTTGCAGTCACTTTGACCTTTGTTATTTTTTTTACATTGTGCTTTAAAAATAGGTAAAATTATATCTTGTTATTTAAGTGCTTTATTTTTTTAATAATAATAATTTTTAAAATAAAATATACTATCAATATTTTGCTTTGGTACACTCACTATAACACCATCTTTTCCTTCTACCTCAGACTTATTTTATGAACTATATAATCTACAAAGATGTTTTTGTTCTTTTTAAATAATGCTAACGTTTTTTGAGTACTTAACTACATGTTGAGCACTCTTCTAAGTTCTTTTTCTGTATTTTTCCTCCGATTCTAACATCAAACCTATGAGATAGGTAGTGTTGTTATGTCAGTATTTTCAGATGAGATTTATGGGGCCTAGAGAGCTGATATGAACTTTTTTCAATAATCTGGGATTGGGGGATGCCCCTTTTATTTCATTACAGGGGAAATTTATCACACCTGCTCACTACGGGGATGTTGTGGATGAACGTTCTATTATCAAGCTCTGTGGTTATCCCTTATGTCACAAGAAGCTAGGAATTGTAAGTAATTTTAAAATATATAGTAGACTTTTAATTTTATCTTTAATGAAGTACTTTGTAGAAAGAACAAGAAACTGAGGTTATAAATGAATGACATGATATATAGATAATTTGTAACATAAGTTCAAATTTATTACTTGAATTCTTCTGTAAGCCATACTTTTTTTTTCTTTAGGTACCAAAACAAAAATATAAAATTTCTACCAAAACCAATAAGGTCTATGATATTACTGAAAGAAAGGTAAGTTAAAAGTTTATTTTCAATTTAGCACTTAATTTTTAATCTTATACTAAATGATTCTAAAAACAACTGTTTAGCCCTAGCCAATTTGGCTCAGTGGATAGAGTGTCAGCCTGCTGACTGACTGAAGGATCCCGGATTTGATTCTGGTCAAGGATATTTATACCTTGGTGGCAAGCTCAGTCAGCCAATCAGTATGTCTTTTTCACATTCATGTTTCTCTCTCTCTCCCCTTCCTCTCTCTCTAAAAAAATCAATGGAAAAATATCCTCAGGTGAGGATTAACAAAAAAAGAAAAGAAAACAAAAAACACATACAACTGTTTAAAAATTTTGCCTTTTAGAAAATAGAAAATTAGAAAATTTTGCCTTTTAGAAAAAGTCACATTAAAAGTTTTTCATTTATAGATTTTCATTTAAGATGTTTTAAAAAAAACTCTTTGCTGCCGGGACCGGTTTGGGTCAATGGATAGAGCGTTGGCTTGGGGACTGAGGGGTCCTGGGTTCGATTCCAGTCAAGGGCATGTACCTTGGTTGTGGGCATATCCCCAGTGGGGGGTGTGCAAGAGGCAGCTGATCGATGACTCTCTCTCATCGATGTTTCTAACTTTCTATCTTTCTCCCTCTCTGTATAAAATCAATAAAATATATTTTAAAAAAAACAAAAAAAACCTCTTTGCTTATGCTTTAATTAATCTTTGAACATTTAAAAGTTAAAAGTGCTTATTGGAATAAATTCAGGCAAGTAAATCATGGAACAGAATAGAGAAGTAGAAACAGGCTTATATTTTTTGGACATGTAATATATGACAACAGCAATATGAGAGATTGCTGAAGAAAGGATGGATTATTCAATAAATAGCACTGGCACAATTAGTTACCCTATGTAAGAAATAAAAATCAACCTTTATCTCAATGTTACCGTAGATTAATTAAGGACCTGTTAGATTAATTAAGGACCTAAGTGTAAAAGACAAACCTTCGGCAAGACATATGGGAGAGCCGAAACCAGTTTGGCTCAATGGATAGAGCGTCGGTCTGCAGACTGAAAGGTCTCAGGTTCGATTCCAGTTAAGGGCATGTACATTGGTTGCGGGCACATCTCCAGTAGGGGGTGTGCAGGAGGCAGCTGGTCGATGTTTCTCTCTCATCGATGTTTCTAGCTCTCTCTCCCTTCCTCTCTAAAAAAATCAATAAAATATATATTTAAAAAAAAAGACATATGGGAGAATCCTATATAATAAAAGGTTATTATGCAAATTGACCGAATGGCAGAATGACCAGTCGCTATGGTGTGCACTGACCACCAGGGAGGTGAAAAAGACATATTGATTGGCTGATTGAGCTTGCCACCAATTATAAATATCTGACAATATTAATAACTGTATTCTGCTGATAAAATAAAAATTGGTACAACCTCTGAGAAACTGTTTGGCATTATCTGGTAAAGTCAAATTTTTATGCTCTTATGGCCAAGTCTTTCTATTCTTTGGTGTATATCTGAGGAAATTCTTCCTCATGTACACAAGTATATAGGGTGTCCTCCAAAAAATATATACACACTTTGAATAATTATAAAAGCAGTCTTTATTAAAATACACTTCATTTTCAAAATTGAGTTATCAGTTGATAAAGTGTGTATACATATTTTGGGACATGCTGTGTATATGAATGTTCCTAGATGGGTAAACAAAATATTATATATGCATAAAATGGAATATTATCCCCCTTTAAAAGTTAAAAAGGAAATTCTGACACATGCTACAACATGGATGGATGTAATTTAAAGACATGCTAAATGAAACAGTCCAGCACAAAATGACAAATACCTGATTACACTTGAGGTAACTAGAGTAATTAAATTCATAGAGGGAGAGTAGAGTAATTAAATTATATGAGTAACTAGAGTAATTAAGTTCATAGAGGGAGAGTAGAATGGTGGTTGTCAGAGGAGACAGAAATGGGGAGTTGTTTAATGGATGAAGAGTTTCAGTTTTTGCCGAAACCGGTTTGACTCAGTGGTAGAGCGTCGGTCTGTGGACTGAAAGGTCCCAGGTTCGATTCCGGTCAGGGGCATGTACGTTGGTTGCGGGCACATCCCCGGTGGGGGATGTGCAAGAGGCAGCTGGTCTATGTTTCTAGCTCTCTATCTCTCTCCCTTCCTCTCTGTAAAAAAATCAATAAAATATATATTTTTTTAAAAGTTTCAGTTTTGCAAGATGAAGAGTTCAAGTGGTAGGTGGCAATGATTGTACAACAGTGAGAAAGTTAATGTCATTGAACTAATGATTCAGTGACATTAAGTAACTTTAAAAATGATTAAGATGATAAATTTGGCATATTTTACTACATTTTTAATTGTAAAATTAGTTTTAAAAAAGTATATATAACACTGTACTGATGGCAAAAACATTAGAAACAACTCAATTGTCCATAAACAATAAAGGGAAGAGTACTTGCATATAGTGTAACTGATAAACTACAATTTCATGAAAGAATCTCAAAATATAATGTGGATTAAGAAATGGCAAGAATATGTCCACCAGTGTGGCTAAGTGGTTGAACATCGACCCATGAACTAGATGATCACGATTTGCTTCTAGGTCAGGGCACATGCTCAGGTTGCAGGTTTGATCCCCAGTAGGAGTGTACAGGAGGCAGCTGATCAGTGTTTCTCTTTCATTATTGATGTTTCTATCTCTCTCTTCCTCACTCTGAAATCAATAAAAACTCATTAAAAAATGACAAGAATATATAACAATATGATTTCATTTAGGCAAAGTTTAAAAGTAGGGAAAACTGATAGATTTTATAAGAATATATATGTGTGTATATATGTACATATGTATATATAAATACACATACACATACATATATATACATATTTACACACACACATACACATATATACACACATACATATATACACACACACACACATATATATACACACACATTCCTCAGCCTGGCCTGTGCCCTCTCACAGTCCGGGAACCCTCAGGGGATGTCTGACTGATGGCTTAGGCCTGCTCCCCTGCGTGGAGGTCTGAACACTGTGGTGAGTGTGCATCATAGCGATTGGCCATTCTGCCATTCAGTCAATTTGCATATTAACCTTTAATTACTAGTTGTACCAGTTAATAATAGTGGATTTTATAATCAAAGAAAACACAATTTTAAGATAAACATCAAAACTGCTTTATTCAAAGTAATGTTCATCGCTAGCTACACATTTCCCCATCTTTCAGGTAATTTGTGGATACTGTCCCAATAGAACTTTTTTCTTGTTCTGAGGCAAACTATTCAGAGACCCAATTTTCCACTTCTTTGTACATTTTGAAGTGCTGCTCAGAAAGTGCATGTGCCATCGATAGGAACAAGTGGTAATATGAAGGAGCAAGGTCTGGTGAATACAGTGGGTGGGTTAATACTTCCCAGGCAAGATCTTTTTAACGTGTCTAACTGGTTTTAAAGTGTGTGATGGTGCATCATCATGAAGCAAAATTACTATGAACATTCTGGTCGTTTCACGATCAAAGCATGGTTCAAATTGATTATTTGTTGTTGGTAGATATCAGTATTATCTGTTTCACCTGGTTTTAGAAGCTCATAATGCATCACACCTTCCTGATTCCATCAACACAGAGCATTGTCTTCTTTCCAAAGAGATTTGGCCTTGAAGTCCATGTTGATGGTTGACCTGGATCATCTCATAATTTTGTGCATTTGGGATTCTCAAAATAAACCTACTTTTCATCACCAGTCACAATTTGAGGCAAAAATATACTTTCTTTCATGCCGTTGAAGCAACATTTTACTGATGACTGTTTGGTTTTCCATTTGTCTTTCATTCAGTTGATGTGGCACCCATTTTCCTTCCTTTAAAATCTTTCCAATTGCTTGTAAATGATTGGAAATTGTTTGCTGAGCAATGTTTAATCTTTCTGCAAGTTGTTTTTGAGTTTGACACGCTTCCTTATCCAATATTGCTTGTAATTTTTGGTCTTCAAGCTTTTTCGGTTGACCTGGATGTTCTTTGTCTTTCACCTGGAAATCATCACTTTTAAAGCGTTTAAGTCAGTGTTCAAAAGTATCTTAAGATGGAGCATGTTCACCATAAGCTTCCCAAAGTAGTCAGCAGCACTTTTCTTCAAAATAAAGTAATGAGTTAAAACTTCCCGCAAATATTCTTTTTTTGGGGGCACAAATTAAGTGTAAAAATATCTATGATATTAACATCTTCAGCAAATTTGACATATGAAGTTTTGAAGCTTGTTAATACAACACAATAGCATACATATCAAATCGCAAATATATTAACACATGTGTAACTCCAGTTATTGGAAAATATCTGCCTTATTAACCGGTATACTTAGTATATAGGATAGGATTATGGATAGGCAGTACAACTAAGAGAAAGCAAAGAAATGAGCAATAAAATTTATACTGGTTACCTCTGGGGAATGTGGAGTGTGGTGCCAACAGAGAGGGGCACATAGAGGCCTTCAAAGGTACTCTACCTTATTTCTTACTTTGGGGGTAGATTCATGGGTTTTCATTTTTTTCTTTGAACTACATATTTATGTTTTATACTCTCTTCTGTACATATGCTGTGTTTCACAATTAAAAAAAACTAACTAGTTTACATTTTTTTTCAGTGTTTTTGCAGCAATTTTTGTTATAAAGCATCTAAGGTTTTTGAAGCACAAATTCCTAAAACTCCAGTATGGGTTCGAGAAGAAGAAAGGTAATTTAAATCATTGTATATACATTTGTCCATATATTTTAAAAATTTCCTTCTGCTTTTTGGGGTATATAGCAAATAAATCTAAGTCTCTTTGGAATATTACCACTGTATACATTTTAATTGTAGGGAAATTGTTATATTTTAAGAATAACTATTAAGGATTTTATACTTAAAAATCAGAAAATTAATACATGCAAATGTTTTATGTGTTGTTTTAGCCTTAATCACAAAATTTGAACTTTGCTTCCTTCTACACTGGTTCATTCTTTCTTTTTAAAAGATAATTTGATGTATTCATTGACTCGTGAATTGGGTAGCATCCCATCTAGTGAATAGAAAGGTGCTATCACCAGTTATTTCTTTCAATATTTCTATTAATATAGTAGTCCTGGAGTAAGAATGTTAACTTTTTTCAGAAGATACTAGATTTTGGTATCTAACTCAACTCAGTTTGTTGTTAGGAAACTATGTTCTAAGATTTAAAAGTTCAGATTATTAATTTGGTCAATCTTTATTAAACATCAGTATAATATTTTATAGATTTAAAGAACCCCAACTGAGAGTCATTTTTAGCAAAAAGGTTTATGGACATTCCTGGGATTTTGCCTCTTGGGAAATGTTTAAGCATTTATTAATACAATGTTTTAGTAGTTGCTGAATTCGAGATAAAATTTATTATTGTGGGGACAAATGGCATAATAAAATAAAAAATCTGTAACAAAATTTTTGTTATATAATTAAACTATATTTTCTAGAAATCCCAAACACAGGCTTAATGAGATAATATATTAAGTAATTCATGTTTGTGCCAGGACCGGTTTGGCTCAGTGGATAGAGCGTTGGCCTGCGGACTGAAGGGTCCCGGGTTCGATTCCGGTCAAGGGCATGTACCTTGGTTGCGGGCACATCCCCAGTGGGGGGTGTGCAAGAGGCAGCTGATCGATGATTCTCTCTCATCGATGTTTCTGACTCTCTGTCCCTCTCAATTCCTCTCTGTGTAAAATCAATAAAATATATATTAAAAAAAAAAAGTAATTCATGTTTGATAGCGAATATTATAACAACACTAGGCATTGTTATTTGTGGTAAAATAGGATTTTTTCTAAATAGAGTAAATGACATAAATATACTGAGATGCAAGTTGATGAAAGATATTTACCTAAAAAGAACAAAACAAAATTCTTGGTCTAGCCCTAACCGGTTTGGCTCAGTGGATAGAGCATCGGTCTGTGGACTGAAAGGTCCCAGGTTTGATTCCTGTCAAGGGCAGGTACCTTAGTTGCAGGCATATCCCCAGTAGGGGGTGTGCAAGAGGCAGCTGATCGATGTTTCTCTCTCATTGATGTTTCTAACTTTCTATCCCTCCCCTTTCTTCTCTGTAAAAAAATCAATAAAATATATTTAAAAAAAAAATTCTTGGTCTTACCTGATGAATGGTGTAATACCATGATATTGCAGGTTCAGTTAGCCCTAATTGTATTGATGACAGTATCTTTGTAGGCAGACACCTTTGCCTGATGCTTTATCCCGTGTGGTTTAGAATATGTAAAATATATTAATTACCTTATGGCCTTTTTTAATTGAATTAAACATAAGGAGGACTAAACTGTTAATCATTTTTCCACCAGCCATCTGACTTTTTTGTTTGGAGGATAAAAGATTGTAGCATTGTCCAAGTTAACTGGGAAGCTGAGAGCACCTTTTAAACTTTTACTCTTTATCTCCTTCCTTAGCATTTATATCACCAGAGCTGTCCATCACCTTCCTTAGCCCTACATCAGCAATATATTCCATTCTCCACTGTTAAAACCACTATATCCTTACATTGTCTTTACCCCTACATCCAAAGATATCTCTCTACTTAAATTTAGCCCTTTCATTTAGCCAACCTTCATATCTGCTTCAAAACTATTTACCAAACCACCTTTTCTGTCATCTCTGTTTTCTTCAAATATAGTCATAGTTACTTCCTTTAGCTAATTTAAAACAGTTCTTCCCTCTAATCTTTTTCTAAAATCTTACCATTCTATGTTCAGAATGCTCACTTTTTCTGAAATATGAAACCCTGTCACTTCTTATTTGTGGCTCTTGAAATTCTACCTTACCTATATATACATCCTTTCCTCACTAAAAAAGAAAGATGGCCCTAGCGGGTTTGGTCAAGAGCACGTACCCAGGTTGTGGTTCAACCCCCCAAAAGTGGTGCAGGAGTCAGCCAATCAATAATTCTCTCTGATCATTGATGTTTCTATTTCTCCCTTCTACCTTCCTCTCTGAAATCAATAAAAATATATTGTAAGAAATAATAAAAATTAAATAGAAACATGAAAATGGCCTTGGCTTCCCTGATCTAAGCATCAATTGAGTTTACATTCAAAATATGTAGTATGTGCTTAGTACATGGCAGATTACACACATGTATAAAGTCCAACCTGTAAATTTAAATTTCATTGGGATAGCCAAATAAATACCCATGAGTGAAACAAATTTGTACTTATTCTAATAGCAACCTGTTATGTAAGTAGTGAGAATAAAACATTGCACAATAAGAAACTCTAAGCAGATATGAGAAAATAAACTTGCAGGAGTGGGTTGGGATGTTGGAAGTAGATAGTGAGGACATTAGCTCACTGGAAAAAAAAGGTTATGTTTTGGTAAAAAATAGAAGATAATGATAGATAACAAGGGGCCAAGCTAAGTTTGGTATGTCCTCAAGTCCTGGGGAGCCATCAAATATTTTTGAACCGAATTTAATCTGGCATTGGTATACAAAATAAATTAAAGAAAGGATCATAATTTAAGAGCAGAAAGGATCCTTAGAGGTAATTTAATCCAACCACTATCAAATAGGCTCAGAAAAAGTATTTATTTCTTAAGCTATTGATAGATTCTGAGCAAGGCCAGGATTCTTTCATCATATTCCACTTGATTGTAAGTAACCAATCTATATTGTCACATTGTGAGTAACCAATATACACTGTCACATTATATATAGTGCAACTATACCCCTTAATTATGTATAATGCTTTTTAGTATATAACCATATCAGTGTATTTTATACCTAGAAGCATCAGAGTTACCTTGATTTCTAAATTCTTATGGGCAAGGATTATGTCAGTTTATTTAATGAGTCCACTAGAGGTCACTGTGTTTTCACAGAGAGTGATATTTTTATGTGCTAATGATCATAATTCTAGAATTCAATATTTTAAGAGTTTGTCTAGCTATTGCACATATAATAAGCTCAACAGGAATGTGATATTTTAAAGAAAGTTTATTCAAATTGATACAGGGTTATAATATTCAGAACCTATTTTCTTTTAAAGCAGGAAAAATTCTTTTAAATGGTGGCATTTAGTATTTAGTGCAGATATTTTTTATTACCTTAAAATAAATTATCATAATAAATCACAAATTTTAATGATAGTTATCTTATTACTAATATTTATTTATTGAGTACTTATTTAATAATAATAATTTTAAAATAAGAATAAATTTTAAAATCCACTCAAAGAATTGATATTTTATTGCACTGATTTCCAAAACTTTTGACTGCTATAATAAATGCATTTTACATTATGATTCCTCACATACATATAACTGAAACAAAAGTTTTATGAAACAATACTTTATCTTCATTACATGAAAAGCCTCTGATATTTTGTACTCTGTTGCTTTTTAAAAATGCTGGTAGCACTGAATTGGTTAGTCCTGATCTGCAGTCTTAAGAGCACTGCTTTGCCGGGACCAGTTTGGCTCAGTGGATAGAGCATCGGCCTGCGGACTGAAAGGTCCCGGGTTCGATTCCGGGCAAGGGCATGTACCTTGTTTGCGGGCACATCCCCAGTGGGGGGTGTGCAAGAGGCAGTTGATCGATGACTCTCTCTCATTGGTGTTTCTAACTATCTCTCTCACTTTCTCTCTGTACAAAATCAATAAAATATACTTTAAAAAAAAAAAGAGCACTGCTTTGCTGCATCTAGCTTAGGGTTTCTTCTTATACTATAGCAAAGTCTGTTATCAACACTAAGCCTCAGTTTCCTCATTTATAAAGTAGAAAGTTGCATTTGCGGTCTTAGTTCCCTTTAGTTTTGATGTTTTATAGCTCTCACTTAGTCTCTTGCTATAGTGAAAGTCTTCTAGTAAGGAAATGTCTCCTTTATAAAAATAATTAAAATTTAAATGATTAGCATAAGACTAGAGAAACTTACACTATCTTGTCCTTGTAGGGAAGTCTCTCTTATTTAAGAATTTAGAATAAAAGTTACTTCAGTTTGTGAAGATGAAGACTGATAAAGGATTGGGTCAAAGTTTTTAAATTATGAGGAACCAGGAGAGCTTTATTCTATGTTCAACTTGAAGTTGACATCTGCAGGATCACCATGATATTATACACCACTTGGAAATAGAATACTGAATTTGACAGAGTTTGGTCTTTCTTAGATTACTATGAAAGCAAATATAAACTTATTCACGAGATTCTAAAATACTAAAACCTATAGTGTCTCAAAATTTTTTATTGTTTTATATAATAATTTCACTATCACAATAAAAATGTATAAATAGATCAAGAAACATGTAGATAAATTTATAAATTCTAGCTCCATATTTCTATCAAGGCTTTGGAGTCATAAAGGGCCTTAGAGGTTTTCTAGGCCCTCATTTTTATTATTCAGATATGAAAAAATATGTGGAGTATATTAATGTCATGGAGAAAAGTAGTGCTTCTCACAAAATGTCTCCTGATGCCCCGTCAGAGACAAAAATGCTCCTGATGCAGTATGATGCTTCGCATGTTAGAGATTTTTTACCCACTTGGTAGCCAGAAACAGACCACATATGGTTTTGTTGCTGTGAGACAGTGTATTCATTCAGGTAGTTGCATAGTTGTATTTATAAATTCTGTTTGGTTGACTGTAGGCTCTGACAAATTTTTGAAAAAGGGAAATTTCTTGAATTGTAACAGAAAAAAATCAGGAGCTAAAACTAAGAAGGACATA